GCAGCGGCCCAGCTGCACACCATGTTAAAGGCCCAGCACCCCGTACTTCCTCCTCCATCTGCCACTGCCACACACCAGATTACATGCTCAAGTATATAACCGTAAACCCTTGGAATCTACCAGAGAAATATGCACCATGTTTCAACCACTAATGAGGATGAGAAAGTCTTTCTAGATGGTTACTGGCCTTTACCTTTTATGCTAAAATGAGCCTAGCAACAAATATAGTCTATATCTGTCATGACTTATTCAACAAAGCAGATATTATCTGAAATCGCTTTATTTTGCCAAGCAATCACGTATCTATGTACTGCCTATGGCTCTGACAATTTAATGTGAAAGCTGTCTTTAATGTTAAGAAGTGATATTGATTGTAAAGCATGTACTGTGTAATTAGATAACAACTCAAGCTGCCCTACACTGTTGAAGAGAGTGGATGACTTTATCTGTAGAATGTTTAAACTATCAAAGCAGAGCAAACTTGGATGCAGTTTTATTAAAATAAGCCCTTGACAGGTTGCCCTGTACATTTCTGATAGCAAACCTTTTCATACAGTAGATGTTTGTTCAACAAGTAAGTGAGCACACACTTTACGACCACTTTCCTTCAAAGCTCAACTAATGCTACAGCTATATTTCTTGGAGAGATTTTAGCATATCTAGAAACTTTTGTTTTGAGCCAGACATAATGTCTGCTTGCTGCTGGGTTGGCAGCTGAGGACATCTGCTCTGAAAGGCACTAATTTGTCAGATGCAGTGGGAACGTAATTCAAAATGAATATGTTTAAAACATGAGCTCCACCCATTAAAATCTGTACTTATAATGGAAGTGAATGAGGCCAATCTGTAATCATTATAATATTCACTTTGATTTTAGTGTAAAAAAAAAACAAACAAAAAAAACATGATTTTACTGTTTATTTTTTTATTTTATTTTTTATTATAAACTTCACATTTCTGCTTTTAAATCTTATTAAAAAAATACTTCCATTGCAAGTTTGTAATGTAAAATGTAACCATTTAAAATTATTCCAATAAATTTTAGCATCTTTAAGGCAGTGTGCAGAAGTTTTGCCTAACGCCGCATCTCCGAGTCCAACCTCGAGTGCCGTCAAAACTTTAACCAGACCATAGCTCCGCGTCGTCAGCCAACGCCCAACCACTGGCATCCCAAGACTGAACTTCCAGCCAATCAGCGAAACAAAAAAAACATGATTTTACTGTTTATTTTTTTATTTTATTTTTTATTATAAACTTCACATTTCTGCTTTTAAATCTTATTAAAAAAATACTTCCATTGCAAGTTTGTAATGTAAAATGTAACCATTTAAAATTATTCCAATAAATTTTAGCATCTTTAAGGCAGTGTGCAGACTGTAAACGTACATGGGCTGATAGCTTAAAATGTGTGAGCGCTATGCTGGATATGTGCTATCTATTTCCATAAATATGTCTCAGAAAATAGCTTCCAAATCATTGTCAAAAATCCCCCTGACAAGACCTTATTTATTTTTTACCTGCCAGGAATATGGCGTGCATAATCAGAAATGTTATTAGAAGAACAGACCCCTCGCCTGTTAGCCCTGTTACCGGAGCTCGTAATAACTCTGAAAATGCAAATTAACTCTAGGTAATCTATTAACGTCAATTCAATTTTATATCAGTACTCCAATTTAGCAGATCCTGACACATTCCTATGCACTGCGTCTCCGTACACAGGTTAATTTTGCCAGGAGAGAGCGGGCACACAGCAAGCAGGGCGGAGGAGCCATGTGCCATCTGTCTCTTCCTGACTTTATTACCCGACTCTATAATGAAGCCCCCGTCGCCGAGGCCTCACACACGCTCGGCTTTCAGATGACAAAAACAACTTTCCCTTCTTCATTTTTCCTTGTAGCAATTATTGTCATTCACACCTTCTTTCATGGAAGGTAGGCGGTATGGACGACTCAATGTTAATTACCCCAATAGTCACTTCAAGTAGACTTGCTAATTTCAACAATGTAACAATCCTCTTGTCAGCAGCAGAAGGCAGGGAGCTTTGTAATGCCAGCATATGGTTTGAAGACCTGATGAGGGAATTCGCCTGCTTGTATTGGCCTTAGTGTCAAAGACCCCATTAGTGAAAAAAACAGACCCTTTAATCCAATGAGATTCGTCCAGTCCATGCAAATGAGTTATCATTGCCTATTGTGGACAGACTAACGTAAGCAAATAACACTCTTAAATTATTCAAAGTGAAATTGAAATATGAGATAATGTCATGAATATGCATACAGGGGGAAAAGTTCTAGGGGGAAAACGTGCATCCATGAGCTTTCATTAAATGATTAAAGTTGAGAAGGTGAAGGATTTGTCTCGCCTCACATGGCCTTTCGAATCATTTATTCTTTGGTCTCTCATGGCTTTGGTGATCTAAGGATTTTAGAGATTGCCGACAGCATTACACAACAGTCCAGTAGCATTAATTGTTCCCACCGAAAAAATAAATAAATAAATATATATATATATATATTTTTTTTTTTTGTAGTGGGATGCCTTTCTTGGTTTTTACAGTACACCAATTCAGAATTCAGTCATTACCCAAATAAAAACAACTTTAACAAGCAACAGCTTGAGCAACTACCACACGTTACCATTGGTTTGTCTTTCTCTTCAAATGGGTTTATTATTATTATTAATATTATTATAAAATCACTATTACATACTAATTCTAACACTTAAATATATTACTATTGTAATACAACTGAACTTTAAAGAATATTTCATAATTATAATTATTTTACTTTACACTACAGAAGTAACATTATTATACTTACATATTTATTTCTTCACTTGCAAGACTTAAACCTTTTATTTTGGTGGTGGGAAAGCATTTAATTTTCTGTGATAGCCGGTATATGAAAGCTTCTCCTTACAAATCTAGTGAAACACTGTAAACTACGGTTTACAAAAATGTTGGAAATGATGTGAATGTGAAAACAAAGCGTAACTCGCACACATTGCATTCCCAAAAGCACGCTCAATGTACAGCACATGCAGATAATGGAGTTCGTAGCTGTACGTGTGTAAATGATCCCAGTGCCACACACTATGGTATGTGTCAAACTCGTTGTCAGACAGAAGAGAAAGTGAGAAAACACAGCTGGAATCGTATTGATACTGTGTAAAATGAGTAATGAGTACTGAAACCAAATATTCAGAATTGATATGTATCGACATATCAACATTTTTGACAACGCTATAACATAGATACAGTTATATCCAAATACTTCAATAGTGAGTTTAATAAATGTGTCTGGTTAAAAAATGTCTAGTGTTGAACAAAGTAATAAACTAGCAGTTCAAGTTTTTATACCTGTACTAACTACAATTCCATCATCGACAACCTACCGTAAGCTACAACACAAATAAATGAATACCAATTGGTTTGGTTCCTCAACTGAACTTCAAGAACCCAAACAAACTTCACAACTTCCTCACAAAACTTATTGGCAGGCCATTATTCGAAAACAAAACATTCAACATCAGCATGAGAGGTAAACTTCTGTGATTTGTGTACATGAGACAGGAACTAAAAGAGGCTTCCTTGTTTGTCTGTTTGTTGTTTTTCTCTTCCAGCCAAAGAGCTTTTGATTCTCTCTATGAGTGTCTCCCACAACATTAATACTTTATAAGACCAAAACAAGTCATTGAGAATGCCTTTCAAGCAAACAAGAGAACATCAACTAATGTTTAATTGATCAGCAGTGACAAAAGGAAAGAACAATTGTGAAAGAAGTCAACTTCAGGCATCTTTTGCCATATTCTCCTTCCTGCCCTCCTCCACCACTGCGCGCTTCCCCCCCACCGTCTGCTGCATCCCACACTTCACTGTCAAACCCCTCGGAAAACTACACTGAGGATTTCAATTGAGTGCATTAGTCTGAAAGCAGTAGAGAGAGAAAGACTCTCACATACAGCTCCAATTCTGTATGCGGTAAGTGCACAGAAAATATGACAAAGAACAAACACTGAGGAGAAAATGCCCATATGAAGAACCCAAGGTTTTAAAGGAAACAAGGAAGCTCTGTGTTACACATGAATGGGTTATAATGTACCTGGAGAAGAGCACCATTCCCCCGGCTGCATTCTACACTTCAAAAGTGAGCCTTGGATCAGGAGTTGAAAAACACTTGAAGCACGGGGCAGATTTAATGCTGTTTTACTGCTCAAATTGACATCAATCATTTTATTAATGGCGCTTCCTGTAGCTCAGAGTACTCTCATCTTTAATCTATATGAATTAATATAGTCATTCTCTCTGCATTACATTATTTCATGTTGTTTATAAACCATCAACCGCAAAAACAAAACAAGTCATGAGTTTAGATGTTTTATACAGCTATTCCCCAGCACAAGAGTTGAAAAGTACACAACAGATTCCTGTATACTTTCCAGAAAAAAAGGAGTTTTCACCGCAAAACACTACATTGCAGCACAACAGAGGGTTATCTCTTATCAAATTTTCAGAGATTCCTTTCACCGACTAACTCATATTCAAGACCCATCTCAAGGTCAGGCTCGGGTTTGTATGGAGAAATCTCAAGCAGGCTTTGTCAACTAACTATGAGCTCTATTTAAAGCAAGTCTTAGGAGACATTCATTAGAATGCATTACTACAAATGCTTGTGAACTTGTGAATACATTATGTGGCATGAAAAACAAAAATATGCTTTTTTGGGGTTTTTTTATGGTCATACAAGATAATCTCAGTGGCAGACCCCATTATGACTATGTGCACCAGTATACATGTCATGTATTGTTGTATCAATCTCCAGACATAATAATGAGAAATTCCTGTCATCTCCGATTTCTCTTTGTCTATTTTTAGATCATGAAATCTCTATTACTTATGTATTTTGTCAAAGCTTTTGTCTGCCTCATTTCATTGTGAGATAAAGGGCCTTGTGTCATTGTTCAGCTGAAACAACCAGAGATGATGAAAGGAGATCACTTACCCACTTGGGACATCTCTGGCACTGAACCTTTGTAAGGCCCCTCAATGAACTGTGGGGGGTTGTCATTGATGTCTTGCACTTTGATGATGAACTCTGATGGTGGTTCCAGAGGTTGGTTGGTGTCTCTGTCGATGACCTGTGCCGTGAGCGTGTACTCAGCCTTCTCCTCCCTGTCTAGCTTTTTCATGGCGTGAATGTCCCCCGTCCTCTCATTGATTGCGAAGATGGTGCCTGCCCCTTCCCCTGCCAGCACATACTTGATGTTCTTATTCCCCATGTCCAAATCCGTATGGAGCTAAAAAGAGAAACAGAGGAGGGGGATTGAGGCTACTTCCAGTTGCAGCTAATACCACTCGAGCATGACCAGATCAATGGCGTCCACACCGGACCGAGCTGCAATCAATCACGTAAAAGAATGCAAGCCCACCGTCAAGTGCAGAGCTGCATAGTCTCTTTGAAATTCAAGTGTTTTACTGTAATGCCTGAACTGTTCAATCTCACAAACCAAAAAAAAATGCAAAAGGGCAGGCTAAGTCCTGGATTTCCAGGTGATGCTTGAGTTGTGTATCCCATATATCTGTCGTTCAACTCTTCATACATCACTAGTAGAGGATGGAGGTCAAAGCGTTTTGCTCACACCTGCCTCAGGGCCCTGTTACCAACTTGAAACCAGTCACCAGGCCACAGTTCCAGAACGAGAAGGCAATTGGGTTGTGTGTGAAAAATAAATAAATAAAATAAATAAATAAAGGCAAGACTATCCTTGACTGCTTCTCAGAGGGAAAATAGACAGAAAGTCGGTAGACTGAACAAATTGGAACAATATTATAAATCGAATCACTATTCATCTACTGATCACACAATATTAAGAAGCACAACTGTTTTGAAAATTGATAATAAGAAATGTTTCTTGAGAATCACATCAGCATATTAGAATGATCTCTCAAAAATCATATTATTATTACTATTATTATCATCGTTATTCATAAGAATAAGAATAAGAATAAGAATGACTTCAGAATAACATGAGGGCTGAGAGGGCTTCAGAACTTTTGAATTTTCAAATGTCTGAAATTACATTTTTAGACTTTACTTCCTCACATAACTCCCATCAGTTCTGTAGCTACATCATGTACAGCAACTTCAGTTCCATTTCTTGAGGCGGTAATATATACAGCCTGGCGCCAGGTGGAAGTACACTTGAGGCTGCAGTAACAAGGACAGCATGAGCTTTGAAATGCGGACTTAAGAAAAAAATAAATATAAAATGCAATTGCTTAATAACTATGGTTTTATGCATGTTGCCTCAGCGGTGCCGTTTCCAGACACTGACAAAGCACACACACTTAAATTGTCACACCTTGCACTTTTGTTCTCCTAATTGTCCTATCATTCCACATGAAAGATCTATCTCATTAAAACATCAGCTTCACAACAGTCTTTGCTCTACGAAAATCCCTAAATGAGCCCAAATGAATGATATGCTTTTTCTGATGGAAAACTTTTTTTTCTCTTTCATGTGATTCTTTCTTCATGTAATCGATACAACGAATGATATATTATTATGGATCCCTACAATATATAAACAAAATGTCACAGCTGCACAACTTCACTTCCTCCATTTGTTCATCCCTATGCCCTATGTGTACATACAGCGTTTCAGGCTTGCGCTCACACCATTCTCATTCTGACGAATGATCGCTTAATCTCAATGTGCAAACAATCGACTGAATTGGCTGCGGAGAGGAGGCAGTCTGTCATTATCCGGGTTGCCAGGGCAACTCCAGTGCTCTAACATCTGACGGCATCCACATTTTGAACTCTCTTAACACACATATAATGGAAAGGGGTCTGGTAGTTGTAATTCTTTTACAAACTTTTGTTTCAATACTCTAATATAAACTAAGAAAAAGTCTATGATCACTCCACTAAAGGTAAAAAATGGAGAAAGTAGGTCAAAGAAAACCACAGAATCATAATATAAAGTTATTCTCATAATAAATTTGATTGAAAACATTGAGTACAAGACACTGAGAAATACAGAGCTGAAGAATAACTGCAACAGAAATGTAAAATCCCGGGCAGTCTTAAATCTGCCAGCACACTGACGTGGATTAGCATTCAGAGCTGCCCGACTGGAGCTGAACAGGAACAACAGTGGGTTTTTACACCCACTTCTCTCTGTACCACTGCTGTGGAGTACAGCTTTTATTGTCAGTTCAGGAGAAAATATGTCAGTGGCTGCTAGAGATTAATCTTTATAGTAGCCAGATGAACAATCAGCAGCTCCGTAATGAGGACTCCTCCATCCCTCTCCGCCTGCCGACTGCACACTAAAGTGCAGTGTTAAGCCCGCCATTGCAAATGAATGATTTTGCCTCTTGTCAGGGCAAGAGGCAGAGAGGACGTGGGTAGAGAAGAGAAGATTCACATCACCTACAGAGATGTCATGTCACACGTTTAAAAAATGTCAGAGGAGCCTCAACCCAAGGACCATCTCAATGGTTAATTAGGCATTGTTCAAGTGTAGGGCTCTGCTTTGCACTAAGTGAACTGTGGATTAGATCATGTGCTACGGCAGTCCTTCAAGGTCACCGCAGTTTCTGCATGGCTACTCAAAGGTTCCATGGTGATCATGCATGTTGTAAGAGCAAATTCATGTAATGTATTCAGGGGCTTTTAGAAGTTATGCCATTTATATTTTAACAGACACTAATAACATTAATTAATTTCTCCTCCTCCTCATCATCAGCATCTCGATAATTCATGTCAATTGCATATTGGTAATATATAGTGCAACACGCCTTTCGTACTATGTTATCTTTTCATTTTGCTTATCTATATGAAGTTGTAGCCATTGTGGTTGGCATGTGGTGCATGTAGGTTCAAATTTGGCTGTGTGTTGCATCAAATATTAATTTCCCTCTTCCCCTATTTTTTTCTCAACTCTACTTTCACCATCTGCTCTGTAATCCATTAACTGAAACTACTAATAACTGCAAAAATATTATATTATTCAAACACTATTCTGTTTGATTAGAATTTATTACATGTAATCAGTCATCCCAAACCTGCTACCATGACTCTTTGTTTAGGATTATTTTATATGCAAGCATAAATAATACTGACTCTCATATATAAATAATTCTGTTTAAGATATTGAAAATGGGCCATACAGGAAATAAGCACGAAGTGTATTCGTATAGTGAATTAATGTAATTATAAATACTTTCTTCATGAGAAAAAAGATTACATGCTACCTGATAAGCCTACTGCTACATTCTTGCAGTACCCACTGATAATTGTTTTATTAAATGGGCTGTTACCTTTACTCTCTTACTAATAAATATAGTTTACATGTTGCCTCTAAGAGATTCCACCAAACAAAATGTGCAATAGAATTTATGTATGTGATCAAATGAGAGTATTTAAAAGTAATGATTGTTATTTTTAACAGCTCCCCCTACATCTGATAATGTATGCATTCAATAAAACAGGATTCCTACCCTCAGAGAAAATAATAAATATCCTAATGCAAAACAACTAGAGTAAACATGTGATGCATGCTTGACTAATGAATACCACACAGTGCTTTGAATGTAATGGCTTTCTCGGTAACCTTCCCAGGTACATGATTAGCCTTCCTGTGCTCCTGATTTATTCCCACTGTGCTGAGAAGGAACCAAACAGAGCAATTGTTATTGCTATAAAAAGCAAATGTAATCAATTGAAAAACAGATAGATTTTCATGAAGCAGATCCAACTACAGATCCAGACAAAAAACTTGGTTACAAAAGAGCTTTATCTGTGTCCAGATAATACAGATTGAGAATCTAATTTCATATTTTAGCGTAGTCTGTTTTTACCCACTGCTTTGTTTAGTGAGCAGCTGAATGGACTGTGGACTGCTACAGGATATGATTACCAATTCTCCTGTTAAAACATGCATTGATTTCACACAAGTAACACAATCACAAGCAACACATCAGGTCTGGCCCAGGACTGGTCCTGTTTAAGACTGGCTGTGACTCTGAACTTCTGGTGTGTTAAAACTAATCTGATATACAAAGATCTGCCAAACTAAAAACAACTAACAATGGAACAACAACAACTACTACTACTACTACTACTACTAATAATAATAATAATACATGTGCACATTTTAACAGGAGAATTGGTAATATGCATCTTGTAGAAGTACACATAAAAACAAAGGTGAAAACAGACTATACAATGAAATATGAAACTAGAATCTCGACTGTATTACTATTACAAAACTACAACTACTACCGTTCAAAAGTCAAGGGTCAGTAAGATGTTTATTTATTTTCTTTCTTTCTTTTGAAAGAAACAAAGAAAATAATATTGTTGTTTCTATTGTTGTTATAATTGTTATTGAGCACTG